CTTCACGCATCTTCTTAGCTCTAGCTCGCGTGACTGGACCTCCTTGGGTGTGTAATGGATCACATGACGTGGTAGATATGCTGTCGTCTTGATTCCCATCACAAATATCCTCAAAATCATCCATTACAAAGCAAACATACAAATTTCCTAATATACTTAACTTCCAAGTGTAAAAGTTAGGGTCATGCTTAATTTCCAAGTGCTATCATCAAAATCATGAAAATAATGAGACAAGTAAATTTGAATGAGACAAACCATGCAAAGTAAGACAAGTTATTAAAATTACTCATTTAATTCAAATCATCAACCATCTTCAAAGTGACACATATGACATTGAAAATCACTTAGACCATCAAGAGCTCATTATGAACTATATATAATAGATAATCAATCTAATCATTCATATATGTCAAGTATGTAATATGATACAAGTAATATCTATAGCAATCAACAAGGTTGTATCAATACTAGAAAAGACACATCAAATGAAATCATACTCAACAAGCATATGTATTAAAGAGTGAGCACACATAAACAAATAATTAATAGTCATGTTAATGTAATTATACTCAATGAATAAATGCAATAAGATACATAATACCAATTGAGCACATGAGTGGAGCATTCAAAAAACAAATTTTCTTTGCACTTTCACTCCAACAACATTCTTGTTGAGGCATAAGTCTTTATCAAGATCAACTTTACTCTTCTTATGACTTTGCCATAAACTTTACATACAAAACAAAATTAATTTTTGATATTTGGTACCCAAATTTGCTTGGGTCCATGGGGGTTAGTGCTTAAAGTTCCTTTTGGAATCCAAATTTGCTTCACTTTACCTAGGAGCTATCAATCTTTTCAAAGGACATACATAGGCAAAGTGTCTCTTTGCACCACAACAATAGCAAGTAACATTAGAATAAGAGGATTGACTAGCTCTTACAAAAGAATTCTTAAAAGTCTTTTTCTTTTTAGAATAATCAAATCCAATGCCCCTTTTGTCATAAATTCTTCTTTGAGATTTTAAGATAAAATCAAAATTTTCTTTATTCAAGGTAAATTTGGAAATCACATTCTCAATATCACAAGCTTTTCTCTTTAAAACCTCATTTTCCTTTTTCAAAGCATTATTAGACTCCTCATTCTTTAAAGATACAATTTCACCATTTAAAGAGGCATTTTCTTTAACTAAAAGCTCATTTTGTTTTGAAAGAGATACAATCTCATTTTTAAGCAATGAAATGGTTTTAGTAAGAGCAAGATTCTCATTTCCTAGTTTCTTGATATCATTTATAGAGCAATCAAGAGCTTTGCATAAATCATCGTAAGAATACTCAAAGGAATTTTCATTAATTGAACTAGAGAAGTTAGAGTTTACCTCCTCATCATTCTTGCTATCCTCTTGAGCCATGAAGTAAGGATTTGCAATACCATTCTCCAAGGAGCTTTCACTTTCCGTTAAGCTAGTCTCATCATTGCTCCAAGTGGCGGTAAAAGCTTTCTTGATGGGAATCAAGATGACCCCACATGTACCACGTCAAGAGATCCATTACACATTCCACTAGGTCCAGTCACGAGAGCTAGAGCTAGGAAGATGCAAGAAGCTTTAAATGGCCTTATTGAGCAGACCTGGGTTGATAACAACATGCAAGAAGTAAATCGAAGCTTGGATGATTATCAAGGCATGATAAACATTAGTCAGGTTCAAGAGAAGCTTAATTGAGGTCATTGATGCTAAATTACACAGTTTGCGTCAATCTCGCAATTCTGTCGCAATTTGTAACAAACTGATATTTCATGTTACTTTAGGTTACTTTTAGTACTTTTCACATTTTTTTATATTATTTTGGGCTGAACATTTATTTATTTAAGGCCCAATTCGTGGTTATTATGATTAGAGCTTAGGGTGTTAGTTTCCTATTCTGATTAGAATTAGTTTTCCCTATTTAAAGGGCCTTGTAACCCTAATTGGGAGGCTATTGAATCTGAGATTTTGAGAGACTTTTCTCTTTGGTTCATTTCAGAACTTTACAGAACTTATCAAGACTATTCTTGTGGCGTTCTAACCTGACTTATCATTCTCGTTCTTAATCGTTCGAGGGTGTGGCGTCAACTAACTTTATACCTCTGGTTCTTGTTGCGTCATAGACAACTGATCAAGGTTTTTACCTTTGGTTCTTGTTGCGACATAAACAATGGGTCAAGGTCCTATTATAAATCTGATTTAGCTTTCCTAGAGTTTAGAAATCCCTTGTCGTGCTATGGGTCTCATTGTTCTCTTTGGGGTTCTCATCATCTTGGTATCAGAGCATTAGATCCCTAAATCAGGTTTGCGTATCTTTAGTTTTCAGTTTTTACATCAAAAAAAAAAATTAGGGTTCTTTTCTTTCTTGTCTGCAACTCTTTTCATCTTGTTCTGTTGAATCTGTGTTGCTGGTTCTGAAAAACAACAAAAAAAAAAAATCAGAGAGAGAAAAGCACAAAAAAAAAAGGAAAGAAGTTGTTGAAAAAAACAAAAGGAAGAATCGAAAAAAAAAAAGAAGAAAAAAAAAAGCGAAAAAAAAAGGAGAGAGAAACAAGCAACACAATTCTATGGTTGGAATTCCTTATATAGAGAAGAAATTTGTGGCCAAATCCTTAAAGAAGAAGGAATCCTACTCCAATAAGGAGTTTGAAATTCTCTTTGAGTTCTATTCAAACAAGGAGATGGCAGTTTTGTTTATTCCTTCCTAAGTTAGGAATCCTACTGCATTAAGGAATAGTCAAGTCAATTCCGACTAGAGAGTGCTTGAGCTGATCTGTTTGTTTTAATTTGTTTGGGTTTGGTTCTTTTATTGCTTTTCTTATTCATTCCTTTGTGTCTTTCAATTTCCTTTAACTCTTGCAGATTTGTTGGAGTTAGATTGCTGCAAAATAACTTGAATTGAGCTTGTTTAGTTCAATAATGAACTGAAAGAGGAAAGTTGAGTGAGGGAAAAAGGCAAGAGGTGTAAGCAACACTTGAGAGAAAAGCCAAGTTCTACAGTGTGTAAAACACGAGCGTTGAGTGCCATTCTGTGAGAGAGTGGAGTGAAACACATAAGGGAGTGTTGTGAGGTCCTTTTTATTCTTCTGTTTCTAACATTTGTTGCAGGTTTCAATCATGTCAAGTGATGATGACAAATCAACCACTAGAGGCCACCATGTGGATGAATCCTTCATGCTCAAAGAAATGCAACAACAATTTCAGAGGCTGGACATCATGTTTGGTGAGATTAAAGACAAAATGGAGAAGCAAGATGCAGCGATAGCCAAGTTATACCAAACACA